TCCCCTGCTGGATATTCCTGGGAGGTGAAGCCACCCAGCTGAGAGTGTTATTTACCCCCACTCCTGGGTAAGACCTCTCATTGGTTCTTTGAATCCTCAAGCCTGGGCAGTATGTGCTTTCCTGTGAGGACCCTGGCCCCCAACATTGACAGGTGCTCCCCAGGTAACTAGAAGTGTGTAAGAGGGTATGGAGCTCAGTGCTCCATCCTTTGGGGCAGTTCTCCAATTGTTCCTTTATCTGTGGTAGTCCTTCCATATATATATATTCCATATATATATATATATAAATATATATATATATTTGATACAGGGTTTCTCTTTGTTGCTTTGGAGCCTGTCCTGGAACTCACTCTGTAGACCAGGCTGGCCTTGAGCTCACAGAGATCCTCCTGCCTCTGCCACCTGATTAAAGGTACATGCCACCACTGCCTGGCCCCATAAAATATTTTATCAATATGACACAGAGTTAGCCTTCATTTTAAATTGAGCAGCCTAGTGCCATTTATAATGTGTGACCATCACCTCTGTGCTGTTCTAAAACATTCTTATCGCTCAAGAGCAGTCTACCCCTACCCACCCCTGCCCCCAACCTCCCCTGTCTCTGCCTCTGAGTTTTTCTGTCCTTTTGAAGATAGCACAAGCTCTCACTTTCTCATTCTTGCCACCAAGATGGCAGTGTGACCTGATAATGTTTGAACTCATCTTGAGTGGATACTCAGGCAGAAGTTTGTGATAAAATTCATATGGGACCTTTTGGAATCTAAACACTAAATTAAAATTAGCTCTTAAGGGGCTGGAGAGATGGCTCAGCGGTTAAGAGCACTGCCTGCTCTTCCAAAGGTCCTGAGTTCAATTCCCAGCCCTGCTCACAACCATCTGTAATGAGATCTGGTGCCCTCTTCTGGCCTGTAGACAGAATACTGTATACATAATAAATAAATCTTTTTTTTTTTTTTTTTTTTTTTTAAATTAGCTCTTAAGGACAGGGACAAGGAAAGGCCACAAGGTGCTATTTGAACTGGGTTGTGGCATATCACGTGAACATGTGACCTCTTGTGTGGGGTGCTGGGGATGGAACCCAGGGCCTTTCCTGCACCAGACATGTCTATTACTGTGCAGAGTCCCTTCATTTTGAGACCTTAATTTTTGATGGTGATCTAAAAAGAAATAAAGAAGCTTGTTTGGCTCATTAGCAGCTGGTGTTAGCTGACACTCCCTGGAGATAGCAGGAAGACTAGGGTTCACCTCTGGAGTGTAATGAGACATGGCTGTTATTGCAAGGTGTTTTGTGGACAGGTGTGGTGCCAGTGTCAAAGTCTTCTCCCCCAGCCTTAATTCTGCCTCTTGAGTGGAACCCGTTCTCCTTCTTGGTCAAGGATTGTGTAGATTGGTCATTTATTGATCTAGCCCACAGTTGGGGCTCAGGAGATAGTGTTGACTCGACACTCTTCCTGTGGAGTTTCAGTGCTGGAAGCTGGAGGGCTTCTGGACTCTGATGCATGCATGCCCATGTGCTGCATTCTCTGGTTTGTCACTGGAGAATGTGAGAGAGCATGCTATGTTTCTGTGTGCCAGTTTGTGCAGGGTTCTTTCTGCATACTGCAGGGCTAGTGGCACACACACTCTCATACAACAACCAGTGTCCAGAGAAGGGAAGTGACTGCCTTGTCACATGGCCAGCAAGTGGCCTGGCTAGGATGAGGACTTACATCTTGTGACTTCCTGATGCCTGTTCCTGCCTTCATAGCCAGGGGCCTCCCTCTGTACTTCCTGCTACTGATACATGGAGCCGCCTGTGCACCCTGTGTCTTGGACACTCTCTTCCCAAGTCTGTGCAGGGATAAGATGACCACAGGTGCCCTGCTGAGGCTGATAGTCTCACTGGGATTCATGACGGTAGAGATCACTGCCAGGTAGAGCTTCTAGGCTGAGAGCCTCTAGGGTGTGTTTCGCAGGGCACATGATGACCTGAGTTCAAATACCTAGTACCCATGTGAAAATGCCAGATGCAGTGGAGTGTGCTCATAATCTAAGACTGGGAGGCAGAGATAGATGGATCCCTGGTGCTCCCTGGATTACCAGCCTAACCTGAGACCCCGATCAAAAGGAAAACAAACAGTAAACAAGCCCAAATGGACAGCTCCTGAGGAATGAAACCTGAGGCTAAACTCTTGTGTCGGGATGCATATGCACACACATGTACCTGCACATACACAAACATACACACATCCTCTGCGGTGCACACAGATGCTCCCACTCCTCACAAATTAGTAGTTGTGGCTGGGCACATGGCTGACTAGGAGAGTGCCTGTCCAGGGAGGTAGAGGAGCTTTTTCTTTTTCCTGATTGGTCTTTATTGTATTTTAGTCACATACATTTCTGTTATGATGAGAATAACGTGGTAGAAGCATTTCCAGGGTGAAGCTGTCATTTCTAGTTGTCACTGTCCAGTGTGAGGAGTTGTTGAGTCTGTTACTTGGAAAAAGGAAGGAAGAAAGCTGTACTTTCCATTTTGGTGTTAGGAGGGAAGAGCAGAAACTAACCCTCCTGCTTAGTGAAGAGAGGGCTATGGAGAGTCACAGGGGGGAGGGAAGTGTGAGGGTCTGCTGAGAATCCGGTGTAGGGCTGTCTGTCAAAGCCTCTTTCAGCAAAGATAATTATTTCTTGAGTGTCTTCGTTTTATCTCCCGGCTTGGAGGAAGGCAGGCATCGTGATGTGATTCCAACACAGACTTCAGGGGGCCAATGTCTTCCATCAAACTTACACTTGCACCAGTAAGTGCCCAGTTTAAAGCACAATCTTAGCCTGCTAGACTGGTTTGAAGCACCCTCCATGACCAACTAGATGCTCTCCTGCCCTGTCTGATGGTCCTGCCCACCCCAACCCCAGGAGACTTGTAGTCCTGTCTGATGGTCCTTCCTGCTCCTGCCCTCTAGTCCTGTCTGATGGTTCTTATGCCTACCCCTGTCCCTCTCGTCCTGGAATACAGAAGCTGAGCTTGTCTTGCCTCAGCCTCTCCCCTAGCTGTTTGCTCTGCATGGAATGGGCCCTTCTATGGCTGCTGCTCTTCTTTATGAAAAATTCAGCTCCTATGTCACTTGTGCAGAGAGCCCACACCGTGCTGGCTGTAGTGGCTTTTCCGGTCCTCTCTTCCTGCTTTATTGTTGTGTTTTTTTTCCTGTCTCCATCGCTGATTATTACTCGTGTGCTTATGCACCACCTTCTCTTCCTAGTATATGAGAAAATGACTTTATTCCTTTTCATTCCCGTGTCTCCAACAATCCTCCTGGTGTGGCCCAGGATCGAGGCCACTGAGTAGTTCTGTTCTTGTTGTTCAAAGTGACTGCTCTGTGACTGGGGCATTGCTATCTACAGCCTAACTCTGTTGATTGGTGCCTCCCGGCCTCTTACTGAGCATTTATGCCACCTGTTAGTGGTCTACCTGGTGCTGAAGGCCCCTTCCCTGAAGCTCCTTAGTAAACATTCTGCGTGTGCCTTGTTCTAGTGGGAATCATTTGGGAATTTATTTGACTGTAACAAACTGACCAAGCACCTATGGTGGTTTGAACAGATGTGTTTTTTAATTGATGAGAATTATTTGTGGTATTGGCTTAGCATCTCACTGCCAGGCACACAAAGGTACCAGGAGGCTCCTTTGTGGTTCTCCCGGCTTTCCCTTTGAGCATGTAGTTCAATGGGCAAAGAACTGCTCTGGCTCAGAGTAGTAAAGTAACCCAGGCATGAGGATCGACACCCTTCGCCATTTCGCTGGGGATAGCATACCAAGTACACTCTTGCTTGCTTCTTACTGACCAACCTGTTGATGTTTGTTTATTTTTAAGACACGGTCTCAGATAATCAATCTAGGCTGACCCCAGACTCCTTTTGTAGCTAAGGAAGACCTTGAATTCCCGACCATCCTGCTTCCACTTTCTAATAACTGGTGTGTCCACTATTTCTGGTTCATGAGGTGCTGAACCCAGGGCCCCACACATGCTAGGCTAGCATTCTGTCGACTGGGTCACATCCCCAGCCATCATTGACCAACTCTGTAAGGTCAGCAATGGCTGAGAAAGTTAGCAACTAGGTTTCCCAGCCTGTCTAGCTGATATCAGGGGAAAAGGTAGTAAGACCATCCAAGGACAGTGCCTACCATTCCAGGCAACTTACATGCTACTTCATGGGTAGGGGAAGCCCTACCCTCCAGGACACGTTTGACAATGTAGGAAGCCAACTCTGTGTGTGTGTGTGATGGGGAAAGCATTGCTAGCCAATAATCTTTAAGAGGTGGACGTCACTGGGAGCCAGGTAAAAAGGTGTGCACCTCCGTGTGCGCACTCTGCACCTTTTCCCAGCAGGTCATTGCTTTGATTGGACTTCTTGTTTCCTGTTTCATGAGTTTTTCCCCTTATAATAAATAAAATATAATTGTTTTATCCTTAGCTAGCCTAATTATTTCTACAGTTGGCATGGTTATTTCTGTGTGTGTGTGTGTGTGTGTGTGTGTGTGTGTGTGTGCACATGCTAATGGTATCCACTGAGTAGAGGCCAGGGACATTGCTACATTCCCTAAAGTATCAGTAGTATCACAACAGAGAAACTGATACATTCAATCTGTGGAAACTGAGTTTAACTGTTTTCCTGTGTTGTAGTACCTCATTGTAGTGGTATAGATTGTTAGTGCCCAGTTTGTCCACTTACTTTGTTAAAGATGAATAGAGGACTGGGCTTGTTTGTGGACAGCCATGTTTTATGTCAAATGTCAGAAAGTCTTTTTTTTTTTTTATCTCTCTTTTGAGACAGAGTCTCTGTAGTTCTGGCTATCCTGGAATTTGCTTATGTAGACCAGGATGGTCTCAAACTCACAGAGATCCTCCTGCCTTTACCTCCTGAGTGCTGGGATTAAAAGCATGTGTCACTGTGCTTGGCATTGCGTGCCAGAAAGCCTTAATCAGAGTCTAGTTATCAAATAGAAGTAATTAAACCCCATTTCATTTCAGGGTCACAGAATGATGACAAAAGGCAATTCCTGCTGGAGCGACTGCTGGACGCAGTGAAGCAGGTAAGAATGCACACAGCAGCCTTTTGTGTGAATGTCCGAAGGTAACGTAGAAGTCGTTTCTTCCCTTTTATGTGCACAGCTTTATTTTGTGTCTGGGAATGGTTTTGGGTTTGTTTTGAGACTAGGTTCAGCAGGTCACCCAGGGTGGCCTTGAACTCATTAAGTAAGGTATATTGGCCTTGAACTTTCACCTCAGTCTCCCAACTGCTGGAATTACAGCTGAGTACCACCAAGTCCAGCTGTTTCAGAGAATGGCTAAACAAAGAGTTTCCTTAGGGAATGACAGAGCATGGAAGGCAGTAAGAGTAGGGATAGAGGAAGTTATTGGTCTGGAGTTTCAAAGTCTATCCTTTAGCAATGACTGTCTTCATTTCAGAATTTGATTTCCCAGCAGATTTGTTTTAGGGCAGCTCTTCAGAGGTGCTGGCTTGCAGTTACGACTCCCAAAGTACAAACGCCTCTGTTGCCAGCAGCTGTGCTGGCTTCCTGATACGCTGCTGTGGCTGCTGATGCTGGCTTGCCTGACACTGTAATGCTAGCTGTCATCACATGTCAACCTTGTGCTAAGTGCCTTACAGTGAATTCTTCAGCACTGACAGAGGAGTTCCTGTGACTGTTTCTACTCTACAGACCACGGCACTGAGTGAAGCTGGGAGATCAGCAGCTCACTCAAGCATCAGTTAGTAAGGAGACTCAAGAGTCGCTCTCGGGAGGGACTGCTGACTGTTATTGGCATGTGATTACAAGGAGGGAAAGACCTTATAGAGTTTGTGGACTAAATGTTGAAGTGGGGCCAGAGAATCCAATGTTTGCTTGGAAGTTGAGGGAGCCTCGTGTGGTGAATAGGTTGAGGGAGTTCCACATTCTTTTCAGCTGCCAGATTTGTCTGCCTTTTCTGAGTGTGTCCCTGTGCTGATCAGACTTTTGTTAACACGATACAAGCTAGAATTACCTGGGAAGGAGAACCTCAGTTGAGAAAATGCCTTCATCAGGTGGACTGTAGGCGAGTCTGTAGTGTGTTATCTTGATTAATGATTGATGGAGGAGGGCCTCGCTCATAGGGCAGATGCCAACCCTCAGCAGGAGGTTCTGGGTGCTGTTAGAAAGGCTGAGGAAGCCAGGCAGAGTAAGCCAGTGAGCTGTGTGTTCCATGGCTTCTGCTTCAGTTCCTACCTCAGTTTTCTGCACCGATTTCCCTTGGTGATGATTGTGATGTGGACATGTCCGATGAAATAAACCCTTTCTTGCTCGGGTTGCTTTTGGTCATAGAGTTTATAGACCTAAGGTCGTCTCTTCTCCCCTGGAGTCTGGCCCTCCCTCTGCACGGGATGCTGGATGAATCACACTTGTTAGCACATGTAGAGTTTGGTCTGCATTTAATCCAGAGCACAAGACAGCAAGACAAGGAGTGAGTTCAGTGGCTGTACATGTAGCACCTAAAGAAACAGGTTGGGGCTTCTGGTCACAACGTCTCGGTTATTCTGAGGAGTTGAACTGTGACATTTATCTTAAAAAACAGCAAATGTATTTATCTATCATTTACCTACAATTAAAATATACCACTTGGCGTGTCACAAATTCTGATAACAGTATCCTTTTTTGATTGTATGTAGTTTTTAATCCTAAGTCTCATAGGATGCAAGTTCTGTCTTTAACATGGAATAGTGAGCTGGGAGTGTGTACATGTAGGTAATCCCAAGATGGCTGTGAATTGGCCGCAGAGTGAGACTGTCCAGATCAAACCAACAATGACAGAGGTGAAGGTGAGGTGACCGTGTGGACTGGGTTCACGGCTGAAATGGTTAGGGCAGCATTGTAGCTCTGATTTTAAACAGGTAGCTTTCCCATCCCCCCAGCCTGGCAGAGCTGCTCAGCACAACAAGGTGGCTGTCACTTGACACAGTCTAACCCTTTGGGGCTCTGTCAAGAAGAGCCATCTGCACGGGCATGGGGGTTCTCAGCGTCAGAGAGCTCCCTGGTAACTGCAGGGCCTGCGCTCCTGTCTGCCTAGTTTGCCCACTTCCTGGAGTCAAGGGGGAGACTAGGCTTCCTATAAGAGGAGTCTGAGGCCAGAGTGTTGTCTTCTTACCTTTGAAGCCCCAGGGCCTCTGTCCCCGCTGTATCTGAAGGCCTTGTGGGCTGTTCTGTGATGTCTCTGTCTCAGCCTAGCAGCTGACCTCAGCATTCTCTTTCTCTGCAGTGCCAGATCCGCTTTGGAGGGAGAAAGGAGATCGCTTCGGACTCTGACAGCAGGTGAGGTCTTACTTTTTGTTATCCTCATTGTCTTCCTCTCTCTCTCTCTCTCTCTCTCTCTCTCTCTCTCTCTCTCTCTCTCTCTCTCTCTCTCTCTCTCGTTTTTTGAGACAGGTTTCTCTGTAGCTTTGGAGCCTGCCCTGGAACTAGCTCTTGTAGACCAGGCTGGCCTCGAACTCACAGAGATCCGCCTGCATCTGCCTCCCGAGTGCCAGGATTAAAGGCGTGCGCCACCACCACCTGGCTCAATTTTTTTTTTTTTGGTTTATGTATTATAGTATGTGTGAGTGCAACTGCTCATATGCCACAATACATGTATGTAGGTTAGCAACTTTTGGGTGTTGGTTCTCTCCTTCCATCTTAGAATCTGGGGTTGCACTCAGGTTGGACAGGCTTTGGTGGCAAATGCTTTTACCCGCTGAACCATCTCTCCTGAACCCCTAGTACTGTTATGAGCCTTAGCTCTGGCAGTAGTGGGTTTACAGACATGTGCACCATGCTCAGAAAACAGGTGATTTTCAAAAACCACTTTACCGTTTGTGAAAAGGTGCCAAGAACAGAGGCTGCCGTGTCCACCTCTGTGACAGACAGTTGGTTCCACAGTGCGTGTGTGGCCACTGCCTATCAACATGCTTCTAAGTTCCTCTCTTCTCCTTTAGGAATCTGCTCTATTTGAACTACCTTTGTTCACAAAGTTATTTGAACACAAAGTTATTCCAATAATGATTTACAGTTGTGAAAACTCAGAAGCCTAAATAGGAAATAGGTGATTGCCTGGTGGTGAGGGTGCACGCCTTTAAACCCAGCGCAAGGGGACAGAGGCAGGTGGATCTCTGAGTTCAAGGCCAGTTTAGGCAATTTAGCCCCTGTCACAAAGAGAGAGATATAATAGAGAGGGGGAAAGATGCAAAAAGACCTGGATATATAGATAGCTTGGCGTTAGAGCATTTACCTACTGTATATGAAACCCTGTGTACAATCCCAGCAACACAAACATAGCAAAGAAGCAAAAAATGATATTATATAAGATTTCCTTTAAGCAGGAAATGCACGTGTATGTAGCAATATAAAAATTATGTATGTAGGGCCCATGAGATGCCCTGCCACCACACCTGATGAACCCATCCTCAGGAACCACATGGTCTTGCAAGTTGTCCCTTGACTGTCACACATCTGCCATGGCATGTGTGTACATATAGAAACACAGACACATACATGTACATAATAAAATATAATATCAGCGTTATGGATTAAGGTTCTCATTTTGGGATTTAGGGTCTTCCTGCATCAGAAGTGCCTGGAAAGCTTGTAAATTCATGATGGTGATGTCAGTTTCACCCTAGGTCTAAGTGTCAAAGTGTGGTGAGCAGATGAGTGTGTTAGCTTGGAGAGCCCTTGTTTGGTCGGATCTGTGCTTCCTCTTGCCTCAGTCTCCCAGTGCTGGGATCACAGGTGTGCACACCATGCCCAATTGAGAATTTGCATTTTCAGTAAATTTCATCCTCAAAAGAATAACAGGAAATCTGAGTGTGGTGGTCCCTGCCTATAGTTCTAGCATGTGGGAAGTGGAGGCAGGAGGATTATCAATTTAAGGTTATTTTGTCTAGATAGCAATTATATCAAGACCCTGTCTCAAAAAACAAATAAGAGTAAAGAGAACAGCTATAAACTGGCAAGTCTTATGAATGCAGATCTTCTGTCCAGGAGTTGTTTCTGTTCCTGAATTGGGATGCAGAGTTAATTAAGAAGTACTCACCCTAGCCTGACCAGCATGACTTTGTGTAGTGTGTGTGTACAGTGTCTGTGTATGTGTGTGCAGTGTGCGTGTGTGCATGTACATGTATGTGCAGTAATGAGCATATGGTTGCAGTGTGTGTCTGTGTAATGTGTGTGTGTATGTGTGTGTGTGCAGTGTGTGTGCATGTACATGTATGTGCAGTAATGAGCATATGTGTGCAGTGTGTGTCTGTGTAATATATGTATGCATATGTGTGCAGTGTGTGTGCATGTGCGTGTTTCTGTGCAGTGCATGTGTGCACAGTGTGTATAGTGTGCACACATCAGGTCTGTGTGCAGTGTGTGTGTAGTATATGTGTGTTCACTTTCCTCCATCATGTGCTGTTCATTTCCCGAGAGATATCTGTCCTCCGTAGTACAATAAAATCCCCGAGCCAGATATTAGGGGGTGAAAGATCAGAGAAGCAGAGCAACCAGCTCCTAGTTCTCACCCCACAAAATCATCAGAACGAATGGGCTATCCTGTTTCTAGGAATCCTCAGACTGAATGCCTTCTCTGCGAAACTTCAGACTGGATCCTGAGCTTCTGTCTCCTCCTGCCATATATTCTCTCTGTCCAGCCATATCATTTCCCTTCTCCACCGCTTGTTTCTCTTTCTCTTTTAGACTGATTCAATCTCATGTAGCCCAGGTGGCCTCGAACTCACAAAGATCTGTCTGCCTCTGTCTCCCGAGTGTTGGGATTAAATGTGACCGCTACCTGGTCTCTATGGCTAACTAGTGTGGCTAGCTCCACACTTTGATCTTCAGGCAAGCTTTATTTGTTAAAGCACAAACAAAATATCACCACATAATGTCAGATGAATGTGTTCCTACATAACAGCTGCACCTTTTCTTAGGTAAGATCTTAATGTTCGTGTTGGCAAGATGTCTCTGGCTGTGGCACCTTATGACCTGAATTTGATCCCAGATACCCAGAGGTGAAAGAAGAGAACAAACTCTCTATTGTCCTCTGACTTCGACATGCTTGCTATGATTTGTATGCCCACATACACACACACATACACACACACACACCCCTACACCTACACACACACACACACACACACACACAAAACTTAAAAACGCTGTTGAATAGTAGATTTTAAAGTTAGTTCCTGGCTGGAGAAATAGCTCAGCAGGTTAGAGCATTTACTGTTTTTGCAGAGGACCCAAGGTTATTTCTCAACATCTATGTCAGGTGACTCACAACTGCCTATCACTTCAGTACCGGGGATCTTATGTACTCTCCTGGCCTCTGTGGGTACCACACATAAAGGTATGTACACACAGACATACACATACACTTAAAAAAAAAGAAGAAAAAGTTGATTCCGGCTGCTCTGGCTGTTGGCTGTGGCTAGGTATTGGCAGTATTAGTCATCCATTGATGCTGTGTTGACATTGCATCTTTAGGACAGCCTAAACTAGTAACATTTGTGCCTTTTCCAGAGAGGCTAATGATGGTGCCCAGATAGTGTTTGTCAACATTTTGGTTCCTGTGATAGGCTTTCCAAGAGAAGTAAAAAGAGGAAACACGGTGACTCATGGCTTCGGAGGTAATAGTCCCCAGTCACTGTGTCTGGTGCATGATGGTGCAGCAAGCTGCTCGTCCTGCATCTGGGAAGCAGAAAGGGCTCCTGAGAAGGGACAATGCCCCGGTTACCATTATTTTCCAACTAGGTCCTGTTGCGTAAGGTTTCTTGAGTTCTGGCATCTTTGCAAGCTTGCCCGGCTGCAGGAGCCCCCTTCCCCTCTAGAGGGAATGTTGGCTACCATGGGGAGACAGGAGTCTTGCAGCTACTCCCTGGTCTGCATTTGGCCTGCCTACTGTCTTGAGCTCTACTTCACACAGTGTAGCCTCTCCTTTTCTCCCTTGGTAGCTATTTGGATGACCTGCCTGGACTAGATGAGCATTCTCTCTCTGGCACTCCTTCCTAAGCTCTCTCTGCGTCCAGACACGCCAGCTCCCTCAGCCTTTTCTCAGAACACTTGACTTTGTTTACTTCCTTTTGCCCATCACCCCCTCCTGGCAGCTTCAAGGTCTATAGCGAATGAAACGATCTGAGGCTTCAGAACAGCAGGAGGTCACCTGTGACCATGGACTCAGCCACCCATCTGCAGTCTGGGACCTGGCAAGGGGAATGCTGCTGCGCAGCTCTCTCCTTTTGGTTTGCTCTGGGACTCCAGCCCATGGGACTGTGCATGACCAGGATGGGTCTCTAGACTACTTTTCCATGGTGATTCTAAATCTAGTCACGTTGACACTGAGGATTAGTCACTCACCAGGAGTGGTATAGCCTGGAGCAGCAAGCTCTGGGATCCCCTGGATGACTTCCCGAGGAAGTAGGCACTCAGGGTCCAGTTAGGAGTAAGGTCTTCTTTTTCCACTTGGGCTCTCGCCTGGCTTACCTCAGCCTTAGCATTTCATGGGCCTTGTTCACTGTGAAGAGTACCCGCCATGGAGGAATGCTCATTTCACACCACGTCAGGGGAAACCCTTTCCCTTTGGGAATTATAGGCTGGGTTGGCCTCTGCTTTCTGAGTGCCAGATTAAAGGTGTGTGCCACCACTACCTGGTTGCATTTTCCCATTTTAAATGCCTCTGTATTTGTCATGTGACTTTTATCTTTAGTGTGTCTCATGCTTCCCACCAGCCTCTCTTTAGTCAAAGGTGTTAACTGGATGCCATATTCTTATTGGCCTGGGAAAAACTTCTGGGTTTGGTTAATTGGATCTGACACTTCCCTCACATAGGTTTTTAATTTTTATTTTTTACTTTACATTGATGATAGAACCAAGAGTCTCACACTTGCTATACAGGTATTCTACTATAGGGGTAAGCCACCAGCCCTGTATCTTTTTGTTTATTAACCAGATTAGAAAAAATATTTTGTACATATGATACTGGGAATGTAATCCAAGAGCTTACATGTGTTATGTAGGTGTTCTACATCCTCAGCCCAGGGTAGCCTGGTCTTACTGTGTAACCCAGGCTAATCTTGAACAGGTGGCCTCTTACCTCCTTCTCCCTGTGCTAGCAAAACAAGCATGTACTAGCATACTCAGCTATGAGTTGATTCCTTCCTGGAAAAAGAGTATTTTTAGCAGATGTAGAACTCTTGGATATTTAAGAAATCTGAGCACATTTTCATACCTAAATTTAAATAAACATTTGTCTAGGGTGTAAATGATGGTTGCTGAGAAGGAGCACAGTGGACGCA